AAACGCATTTATCACCGATTAACGCGTCCAAACGCGTTTCAGTTGTAAGAAAACGCGTTCAGACACGTTTTTAGTGCAAAAAAACGCGTTTAGCAGTGCGTTTGGTCTAAAAAAATGTCTGCCTGGGTAGTTTTTGTTACCCTTTTGACAAAAACCTTAGCTTCAAAAGAATTTCAACAGAAAGTCGCATGTTAGCATCAGTCTATAGCCTTTTCGATTAGTATGTTTGTGGGTTTCGGTAAATTAAACCCACAGTCACTTTAAACTGTCTGAAAAACTGCTGTTAATATTTTTATATTAGGTCAAATTTTCGATGTCACCGGGGATATCGATCACATCTCGCACATGATTTGAGATGTTAAATGTCTTGTTGTGGCGGTACGTAACAGATATCACATTTTTTGTCATCCTTAACCAAATTTAGCCTGGCAGCGGATAAAATCGATTTGAAGCGTTTTAATACAACATTGCATTCTGGATGCCTCAGTGTGTCAAAGTTCATCGATCTCCATGGCTTATATCCGGCGCTTGTACAAGTTATCTGCTTGCCGAAAATGTCACAGTGTTGCTTTTTCTCATCACATTTTAACAAAAAGAGATACATCCGATAAAAAAATTCGAAGCTCCACAAAATTAGTGCTCTATAAATGAAATCAACTCATTTCGACTTACGTGTGTCACCGACTTGAGTACCATTTGTAGTAGTAGTATCTTTAGTAAATTCGTCAACAAAATTTGTTCTTAAAGTATCGTTTAAATAACCGTTCAATTGCCCATCATCTAATAATAAAAAATGTGTATGATGTGGCTCTAATGTTTCTTTATCTTCTATAAAGTTTTCCAGAATTTGGTTGTTCGACGGATTTGAACTTTGCTAAAAGATACGCTCAAACTTTATTACCAATGATAGTAACAATAAAGTATACAAAAGATATTTACTGATGATATTTCTTTCAATTCATTTCTTGTCTGTTCTGTTAGACAACCCCATTTTGTCAGTCCGATACAAAGCACAAATTTGGAAAAATCAGACATTTGCTTCAATAGAGGATACTGTGAAAAACCTTCACCAATTATTTTTACTACACCATTGTTCATACCGCTAGTTAAAATCCAAGCACCTAAAACAAATGAGTATAATGGGCAAATAAATAACTATGAGTTATATGGCAGTAGCAGCAGCACTAACTGTACCTGCATCCGACGCTGCATCTAGAATACCATTCATAAACTCTTTTTCATGCGGTTCAGACATAGTAAAATACTTATGGCCACCGCAAATTGTAATGATGAATCTTGGTCCAGTTTCATAATGTTGCCGATTAATGTCCTCTTTAATCAAATTGTAAAGAATAGCTGCCGGTGTATCAATATCACATCGAATAAATTTCGAATCATTTGTTAAACCAGTCAATGTTCCATAGGTGCAAACTGCGACCTGAACGATATCATTATGATTGTCATCATTAGATAATCGTTCACCTGGAATAGCCTCTAGACTATGCGATCGTTTCAGACGACCACATCTGCATGCTTGTATTTCTTCATTTTCTGAAGGTGAGACTTCTACTGTGTTTTTGTAATATCGCTTACAAGTGCGCGAGTATATTTCTTGGTTTCTAATCCGTTCGTTCCATGATAATACTGGACCCTGCGCATTGTTCTCTGGCAAAAGACGATCCCCGAGCTCAATGGTACTAGACATTTAACTGAAATACAGGTCATATAAATGTTAGTATCGAGGAATTAATGTTTCATTTCCTATCAGTCGGGTTAGATGGGTAAAATCGATGTATGTAAGCATAGAAGTTTACATGAAATAGATGCGACTACGTCTATCACACGAAGGCTTTTTACAACCAAAATAGACTCGTAAACTCACAGCTTATAGAATTAAAATACACGTAGCTTTAGACGTTCATCTATGAAATCAATGTTTTAGATGAACGACAGCGTAAAACAATATGAAACATGCAGCATGTCAACGCCAACATTGGCCACCATGAGCTAACTCAACGTATCAGCGATACCTCATAGATTATTGCCTTAATCTCAAAGAACGTTATACACACTTCATGCTACAAGGATGTGAGAGATCCCATTCCTCATACGTGCCTTTTCCTTTTATTTTCTTCCGTTCTCGATTGTTATTTATCATTTCCGCGATCGTTCTCTTTTTCTTGTAAAGCGCTCCAAATTCGAAGATCAAGCACTAGTTTATTTTTGGCTTATGTATACATCATTCGATAGAGAATTTGACGCTGATCAAGAATATGATGGTTAAGAGATTTTTAGTGCCCTTTTAGTATGAAGAATATTTCAAAATAAATAAAAACTGGAAGCGAAACGGAGCCAATAAATAATACATCAATAAATAATCTGACTTTGTCAGTAACATTTGAAATGTACGCTGTATAAAAATAAATAATTCATTATTAATAATAGCAGGATTATCGAATAAAGATAAGTCATGCCAAACAGACGTTAGAAGCTATAAATGTTCTGAATCACTATTGATTTCATTTAAAAAAGGTAATAATGTCATCGGCGAAAGCAAGTGAGAAAATCATTTTTCGTAAAGAAAGGTAAGTTGTACGCAAGATTTACGGCTTCTAACTCTGTTTGTCTTATCTAATATTAATATCCTGAAATTATTTGTTAATCCTACGATTATTAATAATGAATTATTTGTTTTTATACAGCGTACATTTCAAATGTTACTGACAAAATCAAATTATTTATCGTCAAGATAATTTTGAATGCCTTAAAATCATGTATATCATTGCGCTTAAAAATTTTGGACTCTATTGCTGTGAAAATGAGTTTTCGTAAACAAGATCAATCACTCTCTCGAATTTAGTTTCTTCGTTCCTGTGGATGGTAGACATGTACCGCAAATCCATGTGATGCGCATGATGGCTTCCAGTGTCTGTACACTTTGTACGTAGAGATATGCAAGAGACGTAAATTACTTTAACCGTACGCTTTTCAGAAATCCTCTGGAGATCTTGAAAATGCTCTCATTAAACTGAGCATCGATTCTTACCGATTGTCTGTTGATCTGATGGAATTTAAACGCAAAATGCAAATTTTATTGAAAAATGACTTGGCTGATTTTAGGTGAAACTGCAAAGATTTTAAAGAAACTCGAATAACTAACTCAAGAACGGAAAGAAATCTTGGAAAAGATCGACCTACTTCTTTTCTCCATTTCAAGGCGACTCTAATGAAATTTGAAAATTGACTTCATTTCTGGAACAAAAAGACGAATTAGGTTTGCAAGATGACATGTTGCGAACAGAAGCTGTCTCGGCTCCGTTTCGCTTCCAGTTTTTATTTATTTTCAAATATTCTTAATACTAAAAGGGCACTAAAAATGTCTTAACCATAATATTCTTGATCAGCGTCAAATTCTCTATCGAATGATGTATACATAAGCGAAAAATAAAATAGTGCCCGTTCTTCGAATTTGGAGCGTCTTATATATACACACTGTACTAGTTCATTTCACTTCGGAGTTTGTCTGAACGACACTTCATCTATATCGAACCGTTTTTCATTGTGCACGGTCCGTTTTCAATTTGGCACAAAAGACAGACATTTATCATCATTCTTTCAGCATCCGTACAGGGCAGTCTTCGACAAAGAGTAAATTGGTTCGCCCATTTATCAGCAGATTTACCTGTAGCTACTCGAGTTTCTACTGACTCCGATATCTTCAACGTAAAACTTTCTGTTTTTTCTTAAATGAAAGTACACGTCAAATTTGTGCGCTTTTATTTAAGGGCCTCCAGAAATTGTGATTTTCTGTCAAAAAGTTGGTTGTGAGATAAGCATATAGAAAGGTAGCCTGAAGTGTCTACTTTCAGAATCTGTATCGCTTTTGGTTATGGAATTGAGTTTTCGGGGATTTTGAGCAAGTTTTCTAGGAGCCTCGGAAAACTATATAAGAGTAACACTATATAAGAGTTACGCCTGAAGTATTTCCCAGGATTTTTAATAGCGGTTTGTCGTTGCGAGTTTATTCTTTCTTTGTTTAAAAGAGGAAAAGAAACTACATGGTCCGATTGGCGCCGGGTTTTGAATTAGGTCGTAGTTTTTAATAAAATCGAGAGTTTTTAGAAAACCCGGAAGGAGTTGTCGGATTTTGGAGGTTGTTGGTTGCCTGGACCAAGGCTTAATTGAAAAATCGACGCCGGTCAGACCATGTAGTTAGATCTCTAGTTTAAAATAAAACAAATCGGAACTCTCCAGCTTGAAGAATATTAAAAGATCTTGGGAAGTACTTCAGGGTCGTTTTTGGACCTTGATCTTTGGAAAACTCCTGAACGATAAGACTTGGAGACAAAAAAGTTTTTCATTTCCGTATCTCATTAAGCCAACATTTATTGAAAGTTTCGTCAACATCGGATGTACAATGTTGGAGATAATTTCTGAGAGGAGGGAAGCTTAATCAAAAATAAAATGTTTGATGAGGAAAAGTTTTTGCAAAGATATAAAAGCAAGTGGGGAAAAGCGGAATGGGCTAGAATGGGCCATCTCATATCATTCCAAAACTCTTTTTTCCCCTTGTATAAAAGCCTAATTTTAACAGACAAGAAAGAAAAAATTGAAATCCGCTTCGTTTTCTCTTTGTAAACAAGTGTAATTTATTACCTTAATTTTATCTAATTTACTGTTACCACTACAAGTAATTTTTTATTGGTCCTTCTTCTCCTTCATTAAAAATGACACAAATTATTGCTGCTACTACCGTTAAGGTATTATTAACTTTCGTTTCTTTTTTTCAAAAAAAGAAGCAAAGTAATCGTAATAAAAGAAGAAGAAAAAATTTACATATTTCTCTGCTTGTCATCAGTGATTCCAATAACTGCAGAAAAAAGTAATATAAATGTTTCGATATGCGTTATTGTTCTATACTCTATAAAAAATTGATTGCTTTTTTTATCCCTATACTGCTGTGACTGATATGTCCCATATTGATTAGTCGTGTGTAAGTTAAGTAAGAAAAGAGCAGTGATAAACACATATGCCAAATAAACGCTAAATTCTTTATTTTTCTCTTTTTTCTTTTTTTTTTTGATACGGAAGATGATATTTAATGTTAATGTATAGATATAACTAATAACTAATAGATAGAACTCTTATTGATCTTTCTCGTTCTTTCTTTTTTTTTACTATAGCCAGAGCGAAATAGAAAATGAGAGAATAATGAGAGATGTGCCGTTTGCTTTCTTTTCTGCAGATAGTGCACGAATTGAAAAAAGAAAAAATCTGAAAAATCTGAACACCATATAGCTCTAGCTAAATCGTACACTTAGGCATATGCATCAAGTCACGTTCCAATCAAACATGTTTGAGCTCGAACGTTTTTGAGTTAATATTTCTTATTATATTTTTTCTCCTCAAGCTAGAGATTGAAGTCCCAAACCCTTTATCAAACACATATACTTCATAACATTTTAGAGAAAGGAGAGATTAAGGCTGTTCCATAACCTTCGCAACTTTAGTATTTTGCTTATCAGATATGTCGTATCTATTTATCCTGCTAAAATTTCAGGAGTTCCACCTCTTTATTTTCAATGCACTCTAACTACATCATATCAAAAATCTACATTTTTTAGATAAAAAACATGTGCTATTTAGTCAAACATATGCAACTTTCAAGAAAGCCGAAAGAACTACCAGAATAAACGGTAGTCTATGTTAAAACGTAGTAAGTACGCTGTTGCACGGCTGATTCAAGGCATTAACACATAACAAACTTGTCTAGGATTAGCATACGATCTAGCAGCGTCGAGGTTCGAACACAGTGCCTTTTGAAGTACGTATAAACAGATTATCATTTACCATTTGAACAACAAGAGAACAAGTTTATGAAACGAATCTGCTGTTACCAGTAGCTCGTTCAAAAGACTATTTAATTATTAATTGTGATGCTGAAGTTTGTTGAAAAGACACTGATTTATTACTAATAAAATGGAGACAGCGCAGTATGATTATTCCATCGTCTCTTTCAAGTATATGGTAGTACTACTGTCAGTTAATGCGACCACTTTAATTATTGTTAAAAATATAACTCGATATCACGGTTATATGAAATCGTCCGCTTGGTGTGAACTATATTGTACAGTATCACAGACGACATTTGTAACGAATAGTCAGTATGATCATATTCTTGACGTTTTATATTATCGTATACTAATCAATACTTGTGCATTTTACACGGAAGAGCGCAGAAGCAAAGTTTACAAATATCCATTATCTTTTCGTTATCAAAAAACTACAATCGTGATCCGTGCTGCCTAATTCAATTATAAAAATCATTTTCGCGAATTCTAATATGAAAATTTGACAATGAATTTAATCAAATATTATTTCCACGATAATCACATGCATTACAGCGACAACAAATCTATTGTAAACTGAATAGTTTTGAATATTCACCAAAGTAAAAAACAAAATCATTATATCTTCGTAGAAACTTGTTTGTTCGATCTGAAAACCTTCACGTCTCTGTAACTTAACCTGCTCTACAATCTGGACGTATTGAAATTAGATACTCAAACGATCTCAAAAGATCCGGTGTGTGTGTAGGGCGGTACCTGAAAACCTTAGCAGCAATGAGCGATGGATTCGTGATCAACAAACAAGCGAGAAGAGATCTGCATAGGCTACTTTAAGAATTCCTTAAGACGTGTCGAG